CATAATACACTAGAAATGAACAGAAAACTGGCCATGATCGAATCATTGCGAGTAGAAATTGAATCGCACCGGCAAATACAACGTGAATATAATATACGACTTCTTGCCTTATACGACATAAGCAGTAAGTCTTATACTAAGATATAACATATAAATAATTTTGGATTTAGATGGTGGCCAAAGTATAACAACAACAACCAGCAACAACTAACTACACCTGCTCGATTTCTTCTTCACCTTCAGTTGCAGTCATGGTTTCTCATATTAAAAGGACTTTTTTTCTGGCAATAACAAAAAATCTAGTATGTATGTACACGTGACGGATTTTGCCGGTTGATTATTCTTGAAGTTCTTCTCTTGTATTTCATCGTTGTTGTTGTTGTTTGTTTCTTGCGTTCATTTGTTCTCTCTTTTTTTTTCTTACTACTTCTCTTTTTTCTTTATTCTCCAGACCAAGCGCAACTATATAGATTCTTCAACTTGAATACAGAAAATCCTATTTATTGTTGTCGTCTTTTAATCGTGCATATTTTTGTGTGTATTTGTATAAGAGTAAAAGCGATGCGCGATGTAACCTACTCAGGTGAATGATGAAAATTGACAAGAAAAAGAAATAAAAATATACAGCTAAACATCTTCCAACCGAAAAGAAAACCAATTTTTTTTCTGATAGGTGCTGCAACGGTGCTGCATTATCGATTTATTTTTGTTCAACAGAGAATAGTATATATATTTATATAATGACATAATTAGTAACAGAAACACTAAGAACGTGTTGTACATAATTAGAGATAAGAACATCATGATTATGTATATTTATACAAACAAAAGAAAATGAAAAAAGAAAAAGGGTAGATTGCATTACTTGACCAATGTGCCTTTTACACAATAGAGTACACCTTTACGTGATGACCGAGTGATACAATGATCCTAAAATAGAAGAAAAAAATATATATATACAATTGTGATTGATGAGCTGCATTTAGATGAAGAAGCATCTTTTTTGGAGAAATATATCGTTACAATTCTTTACTATAACAGTTTGATCTTCTAGATAGTTTTATCTGTCAATGTTTATTATGATAAATAAGGTCAATCTGACATGTCTACAAGCTACGATGATACATTACATTTAATATCTGTCTTTTATCACGAGATACAATTACTATAAATATCACATGCAAAAAAAATAGAATCGATCTTCTACTAATATGTCATACCTTCACAAATTTTTTGACTTCCTGCACAGGAAATTGTTGTGTTTGGTTTTCTTGTTTAATACGAGAACGTAATTCAGTAAATTGAAAACTATCGCATTTTTCGAGAAGTTCAGCAACATAACGACGAAGCTAAAATAAGGGGTGGATGAGAGTATGGCTGTGAGTCAGGATGTGGTATAAAGATAATATCTATGCCCATCCACCCGCACTCACCCTCAAGAAATCGAACAAGTGACATTGATCGTTTCTCTTTATCTATATGTACAAATTATGTTCAAATAGATCTTTCACGTCAAATCAATGTGAAAAAACTCGTACAATATTAATCAAAACATATTTTATTGCTGAAAAATTCAAAATTCGTTTTGATGATATCCAGTCGAATATGATTTATTGGAAACAAATGGTCCTTAAGAAAGAACGAAAGAAAAAGAAATAAACTCTTTCAGGATTTTGTAATGTATATTTGCATTGATGATTTACATTGTTTACTTGTTGGTTGATATTCATCTGGAAGAGATGTATATCTAAGAACCTATTTTAGTAATTCTCTCTGTAAGTAAATAAATTTAGTCGTTAAAAAATAATGCATGTTATTTCCATAGATATTGTATTCCAATAGATCAAGAAAATGATTTTGTCAATAGTAACATAAGAATTTGTTTTTAAATAGACTCATAATTATTGATAGTTCTCCTATAAAGGTGATAGATACTTTCTATTGCGATGTTTCTATATGCACATTCTCTCTCTTGCTTGGCTTTCTTTCATCTACTGTTGTTCTTTGATGTTGATTCTCAATAGAGAAATTCATCCGTCTCAGTCTGTACTAAACTTACAATGACTACGTTCATTTAAATCAATTGAACTTAATCGAATATTTTAATAATCTATTTTTTATTTTTAAACACGTAATTATTGAATAACGAATGAATAAATATAATAACTATTAAGAACAATAAATTATATAAGTATTTCGTCTTTTTAACAATTTCACATTTAATTTTCTTTTCTCAATATCATTTCTTCAATTCTCATTCGAAAAAAGTATCACATTTGTTGGATTATGATCGACTTGGACGATACGCCTATATTTGACCTCTATGAATTAGCTTATTTGTTCAATTTCACAATGAAAAAAGTGACAAGACGTAAACAATGAACATATATTGCATATATAGTGATCGTGTCAGTGGTAATAAAATATGAGTCGATCAAATATGCATCTTTTCGATCTACCAGATGAAATATTACTTTTGATTTTAAAGAAATTGAACAACATCGATGTTCTTTATTCTTTATTGGATGTGAACAATGGAAAACTTGACATTCTTGCACAAGAAAATATTTTCACTAACAATCTGAAGTTTGATTCTGCTAATGATACTTCATTAATCAGTCGATTTTGTATTGATATATTACCAAGAATTCATTGTTATGTCAAATCATTTACTCTTCATTCATCTTTTATGGAATGTATTCTTCTTGCAAACAAATATCCAAATTTAACTGAACTTAAAATTATTCATTTTCAACAAGATTTCATCTCAAAGTATTTTACAAGTACGTATCTTAATAATTAAATTTTATTAGCTAGCCGAAATAATGAAAATCTTGAAAAAGTCGACTTGCATATTTTTGATTTTCTTCTTTGCAGATGAATCAATTCGAGCAATATTTGAAGTACAAATTACAAATCTTATTCTTGTCAATGACGATCCATATGAAATGGCAGATTCATTTAAAAATTATACTACAAATATCTATGCACATATATTAAGTTTCTTTAAGAATTTAAAGAAATTAAATGTTGTTGAATCAACTGATGAACCGTATCCACCTTTATCACTCTGTGATTTATCGTTGAATACATTCTCCTCTTCAATTCTTACTCATTTGTATATCAATGTGTACACTATGAATGATTGCCTTTATTTACTTGATGGACGACTTCAGCAATTGACAACATTATCTGTTCATGTTCATATTATAGATGATTCCTCAACAATTGTCCATAGCAAGGTAAATTTTCATAGATAATTAATTGTCGTGAGATAAACATTTTTGAGAGAAACAAATTAGAATTACCTTGAAAGAATCGAATGGAAAAAATTGAATGATAAACTGTCGTAGAATCAAACGAAAAAGCTGATAAGTATCGATAACTATTTAAATGGTATGGTCATAGAATTTGTATTTGTTAGGAGAAAATTGAATTTTATAAAGAGATTAATGAAACTGAATATAAGTGCAGAATGGAAGATCCAAGTATTTTGTCAACATTATTTTTATGTTTTACTTTAATCGAAGAGAACATATGAGACGGTTGACAGACACGATGTGAAATAGATATCAATCGAGATTAGTAATCAGTATCAACTATTTTTCATTGATTAGATAATTAAAAATGTTTTTTTTGTAGGATATTTTACCTAATTTGAAATGCTTCTCATTACAAACGTTCGACCGATTTGAACAATACAATAAAATTTTATCACTTCTGCGTCGTATGTTATTTGTAGAAAGTTTAACTTTATACATTCGTCTCAAAAATCAAAATAGAGTTATTGATGGCACTTCTATTCAACATGATATTCTTGATAATATGCCTAAACTTCAATTATTCACTTTTTATATTGGAGCTGATCTTGATACAATTGATTTATCAAACGAAGATATTCAAAAAACATTGACGACTATTGGACAATCTGCAACTAGTACTCTCAATCATGATATTAGTAACAAAATTATGTATTCGATTTTCTCATTGCCTTTTGCATTCGTAACTATTAGAGAACTTGGCAATAGTTTTCCAGATATCTTATTCAATTCTGTTACATCACTACTTGTTCGAGATGCACATGCATTCAAGCATGAATTTTTCGTTCGAATTGCTCGGTCATTTCCACTACTGCGATGGTTGTGTATTGCTAATTTTCAATCACAATCATCATATGATATGAATACATTTACCATTGGTAATAATCAATCATATTCAATAATTGAATATCCTCATCTAACGTCACTGGATGTGACATATGCACATATCGATTATGCGGAACAATTTTTAAATGAAAGAAAGGCACTGGTACCATGTTTAACGAAATTAAGTGTGATGAATGTCGAATTAAAAAGGGTAACGAAGAATTTTACGAGAGATGATACTCGATATATTTGTTCTAAGATCAAAAAACTATCTCTACTAGGATCATTCAAACAATCGGACGCTTTTTCTGCTTATTTTTCTTCAATAGAAACAATAGAAACATGATAAAATCTTTTTGTTGTTGATTATTAAAAAAAAATACTCTTTATTGTTGATCGATTTTTTTTTTGTTTTCTTCATTTAAATAAAAAAATTGCTCATGTATTATGTGTTATATCTCTAAGGAAGACATCAATATGTTCTATAGATTCAGTCATATTCGCTATAAGTATTACGAGTAAAGTAAAAACCTTGTTCGAAATCAATAGTAATAGTGACATCTATTATATTTAAGTTTCGAATCGTTGTTTTTCACACTAATGTAATTCTTTTTCGATGAAAATGATGAAATGTGGAATTTGTTTCGAATGAAAATGACTTGATGGATGAGGAAAGATGAAGAAATTTATTTTCTTTCTAACATATAAAAACTGAATCTTATTATAGATGTTAAATATATTAGTTCGTAGACACTAAATCATATGATTGTACTTACAAACCATCATTTAAAAAAGATCAAATATAAGTAATGGCTATCGAAAATAATTTCATTGATTCTCAGAAAGATCAACGTCGAATAGACTTATTAAATGATCCAAATTATGGGATTGTGCTTTGTTTTCTGGACAAATTTCGATCTATACTTGATTTACCACAGTATCCATTACAACTTTTTGAAGATCATCTTATAAATTGTCAAGAACAAAGTAAGTGTATTTAATTTATAATTCGTATTGGTTAACCCTTTTACTTTAATACAGATCCATCACGTCTTATTGATTTTCATTTCATTCTTCTCAAACGCTTATCTTTAGCAAAAAATGCTCAACGTGATAAATTTGATTCAATTATTACTAAAGTACATTGACCTATTGTTCTTTATCATCATTTTCATTGTTCTTCAATATTATTAGTTTGTTTCACGATTTGATTCAAACGATAGTGAACAATTAGCAACAATTGGTTATTTACACATTGATATAAATCTTAAAATTCGAACTATAAAAGTAAATCATAATAATATTTATTAATTAGAATTCATAGAAACTATTTTATCTAGTATTTACTTGAAAGTCAATTTGATTTGAATCAAACATTCAAAAATACAATTAGCGAAAAATTATCATGTCATATCAAATCTTTACCATTAGGTCGTGATCGTTTTGGTGCTTCATACTGGTTTTTTATGGTTTGTATATTCTCATATGATATGGTCATGACAGTCTCTATTGGATTATCATAGGATAGTAATTGTTTTGTACGATTATTTCGTGAAGATGTTAATAATGATCGAACATGGACTAATATTGCTAAGTAAGTAGAAAATTACTGCACTATGAATTATTTTTTATCTATATTGTTTTGTAGAAATCGAGAAGAATTAGAAAAGTTCATTCAATTGTTGATTACTGATTCGATTGTACGAAAGAGATTTCCTGGTAAAGAAAATATCCTATTAAGATATGTTATTTTTTTTATCTTTATATAAAGATTGGATCATTGGTTATGAGCCATATTTATCTTTATTACCAACAAGTGAATTTGAACAATGCTATTTATCAATCCGAGATGATGTTAGAGATGAAGAGCTTGAAACAACTCCAGATAATATTGAAAATTCTGATCTTTCAAAAGATAAAGATGAATCATCATCATCACCTGAGATATCAACAAAAAAAAAGCGTGGACGACCGAAACGTTCAACAGAATCTATAATCGAAGTAAATTGCACTGAAGTACAAAAAGAAACTGAAACAACAATAGATGATGACGACGAAGAATCTGATGTATTAAAAAAAAGAAATTCTAGAAGTAGAAAACGCAAAGTTACTACAGAAGAACAAGAAGTATCTCTTGACGATATGAGTCTTGCAACACGTCGATCATCACGACTGCGACCAACGTCTGTAGTTACTCCTGACAGTACTTCTCAGGTATAAAAGATGACGAAGTTCGAAAGGATCAATTTAAATATCTTTTTAGTTATCTGATACGACACAAAAGCATTTAATAAAGACAAAAACAAAAATTTCACCTACTCTTCGTTCTCGTCGTCGACGTAAAAAACCATCTCGACGAAATATGGATGATTATTTTTGTTTATCAACATCAAGTTCAGACGAACATATCGATGATCTAACTGACGATGAATATAATTCTGATGATAATCAATATTTAGTAGATGTTGAAGATCATTTTTTTGAACTTGATGAAGATAATACTAGTATGAATGATCAAGAATTACGTACAGCTAAAACAGCACATACATCAACAATAATAACAACTTGTTATATCTGTTCAAAAAGTGATCGACCAGAAGTTTTATTATTATGTGATGATTGTAATGATGCATATCATTTGGAATGTTTGTATCCTGTACTTTTATCTGTACCTGAAGGTGATTGGTATTGTCCATTATGTGAACAAAAACAATTATCAATTTGTTTAATAAATCGATTAAAAGAATTATTAATTCATTTTAATACAGCTGATACGAAAAAACAAATACGATCTACAAAAAAATTATTTCAACGAAAAATTAAAGTCAAAGAATATAGTAGTGATGAGAGTATAACAGCATCTGAATCCGATAACAATGACGATTCAATGTTATCAACTAGTCAAATAAATGAAAATAGTAATTTATCATCAAGTTATTTTGATGATGAAAAGCAAAGTATAAGTCAACGTGGTCGTCATCGGCGTACTCGTTTTGATATTAAAAAAATGCTTGTTGATGAATATATTGATGATGATGTTGATGATAATAGTACAGATAAAACAAATTTTCATTTACAATTACCAAAAAAGATAACTCGGTTACTTCATCGTCATGATCGATCATTAATAAAAAATGATTCACAAACAAGAACATTACCAACACGTGTATGATAAAAAATAGTTCTATTTTCTTTATTTGAATAGAAATTTTTTTTTATTTATTTTCAGTTATGTGATACATCATTTGATTTAAATGAAAAACTT